ACCACAAGAGTTCATGCTGAGCCTTCCAATGCTGCTAAGAAAAACCTGCTTCACAGAAAGTCACAGCACAGTACACCATCAACTGGTCTCAATGCTTTTGCCCTACCCAAATTATAACTACCTTAGAACCTAGCATGCAGATACTAGTACTGGCAATTTCTCAGACAGGGAAGATTTTTATACTCATTTTTCAAACAACAGCTACAGCACAGATGCTGCCTGAAAGGCAACTTTATAAGAACAAACCCATCTGAAGTCACATGAGTATCATCCACAATTCAGGTAATCCAGAACACACAAATTTTCATTGCACAAGCTCAGCATCAGCTGCAACATCTTCTTAAGCTCCAAGACAGATGCTAAGCACAACCTGACTTAGAATTATTAACCTAGTGCAAAGAGGACAATTTACCATGGTTTTATAAAGCACTTCAAACAGACAGTGAGAACGTAACATGGATCAGAGAAAATTTTCAGCAGCACCTGCATCTCCAACACTGGCATTTTTCAATAAGGGGTTGACAACTAAATAGACCTGAAGTGCCACAGAACGAGGGAGCCTGACGCACAGGTTGATCTCGGTTGATCTCGGATGCGCCCATCTGGGAGTTAATCAAGTGGTGCAAGGCAGGTCTGACTTTGCATAAGAAAGCCCATCTCAATTAGCGCTATTCATGAAAGTGTTTGTGATTTTAGAGCTTTCTTGGAAGTGTTGAACACCACCTACTCCAGACAGCTGAATCCATCTCACTGCCTATGTTACCATGGATGTACCAGGACAGAAATTCCATAGCAAAACAAGCTATGCTGGGCTTTTCCTTCCTATATAGGATTGGTTTTAATATGGCAGGTAAATTTCTGCCCAAACACTGATACAACTAATGCAGAAGACTAGGATTTCTAGGTAACTTTTGCCAAATAGGTCTGGTCTGAACAGGCTGAACAGGAAGGCAGTGCATGCTGACACACACCTCATTGTTACCATCTCACTTCTGTTATCATCAGACCTTCTGCATTGGGCTGACTTGACAGTCAGTGCTGTGTTTCATAGGGATATTACACGAGGCAATTAATAAATCTTCAAACTCAGCAGTGAGAAAAGTATTTTCCAGGTGAAATCCCCTTGTCCATAACACAATCTGGGTTTGACGGTTTTCTCATTCGGAGAAAACATACCCCAAGCTACTTCAACTCTTTATGATTTGCAATATGAATTAAAACATGAGTGCACAAGATGGCTCCTGGTTACTGAATCCCTCTGCACAAACAGCACCTAAAGTTATGGTCACACAGAAAGATGGTACCACAAACTCAAGCAGGTGACAACAAAAGGAAAGAATGGAAACGTCACTTTTATTCTTATTACCTTTATTCTTAACCCTGAATCCCAACTTACCATCAATATTGAGCATCATCTTCCACATGGCAGGCCGAACAGACTGATGGAATCCAAACCAGACCTCCCTACCCCCCCCCAAGGGGTGATCATAGCCTTCTGGAGCTGAGAAAAAGGAGCGGCCCACAGGGGTATACCTGGTGAGACAGACACACACACCTTCATGCTCTTGCTTTCCAAAAACTCCGTAACTCACAGCATTATTATGTTTTCAATTTTGTGCACCAGGAATCGCTGCCTAGAAACAAATGTAAACAAAACACTGAATGCTGCCATTCCCACTGCACGTTTTTAAATTTAGACAAAACATGTACTAGTTTTAGCAATGCACAACCACTTTGTTTTCACAACAAATCAAGAACTAAGTTATCTTACCCTTTCTGATCTTCGTCTTCAAAAACCTATAGTCTCTGTCACAGCAGACTCTGTACAACAGCACTGCATACACTGCACTGACCCTTAAATACCATTTTGCATGTTTTACTAGTGAGCATTTGAATCCCATGTACACTGAGAGAAGGAGTAACTATGGTGGAAACAAAGAATCAGGGAAATTCCTCTCTGGCTGAAGGCAGCTGCTCGGGAACCTCCACACCTCTTCACATCTGTAATGGACAGACCTTAGCACAGATGTTACCATCTTTCCTGTTTCCTTAGGATCCAGGGTAGCTGAGCAACACAAGTCATTTTTTTTGTGTGAGATACACCCAATGCAAACCAGCAGTGCAAAGCCAGCTGGCTGTCCAGAGCCATCAAGCAAACTTAAAAAGTAACTTTAATTGACCAAATAAGGCAGAATTAATTTGGCCTTCTCTAACATTTCAGGGTTCTGAGACAGAGTAACAGACTTTGCTAGGCAAGGTCTCTAGTCCCAACTGTGTATTTAAAACACAAGAAGCACACACCATTAATGGGTCTACCAATGAATTATGACTCATGCTTCCAGACAGTCACCACCATCAAGTGTGAGATGCTCAGCTCAACTTGAGCAGGAGACATGAAAGCAGAGTTGCAGCATGCTGTGATCTCCCAGCAGTTCAGTTAAGGCCTGTAAGTTTCTCCTGTTCTTGATCTTTTCAAATACACCACCTGCTCTGGAGTTTAAAAGTCTACAGAAACACAGTTAGCTCCAGTCTCCCCAGTTCAGCTACCCAGCTGCTCTGCAAAAGGGGAAGGATCAGTTTTTCTTTTCACCTGTGGACAAACAGGGATGAAGGTCTCCCAGTGGGGATACTTCAGGTTAAGACAGACTGCAGGAAGACAGTGAACCTACTTCATGGAGGGGAGGTGTCGTAGCACCACATCGACAGCATGAACAGGGTTAGTGCTGATAGGTTTGTCTAGTTCCAGAGGCTCAGGCAAGGTTCTTCCTGTCAAAACTTCATGCAGCAAGTGCCAGCTCACCCGAGAAACAAACTTTATTGACACTTTGAAGGGACGATCTTTTCCACCTTCTCCTGGTAATGTCACATCCAAATCCACCTGGGTAGGAAAGGAAAAAAAAGCAGCTGAGGGGTTTAATCTGGTAGCCTTGAGTTTCCACTCCTTCCCATAACCAGGCCAGAGACTCAAGAACTCAGCTATTTAGGACACAACACATTTGATAAAAATACATTATTAAATGCACAAAATAAAGAGAACTGGGTCCTCACTAAGCAGAAGAGGATCATGTAACATTTCCTCTTGAGTTATAAAATGCTTCGTTCCAGAGAAAGCATGGTTAGATTTTTTTAATAGCACCTCACTGTAAGGTAATGTCTTACAGGCTGGTATTTAACAGATTTTGTAGAAAAAGGCTACTGAATCCTAGTGGAGATTCTGGTGCACCTGTTACATGTACATTTACAGACATTGGAATTTGCAGAAAACACTAACAGGATCCCATCCCAATATAGATACTGTATGAACTTTCAGCAATATTAGAAGTTGCATTTGTTTCTTTTTCTTTCCCAAGAAGCTGTTACAAATACCATTTTTTCTGCAGTTCTTACCCCAGTAGTGGCCACGGGAAGCGGATTGGCTGTATAGAGGCTTCTTTTCCCATCATAAACTGGTCTACGGTCCCCAAATATTGTCACTTTAAAATGCTGCACCATTGAATCCACCACCTCCCTAGAAAAGTTGATATTTACATTGAAGATGTTTCCAAAGAAGTATCAGCCTGGAACAGGCTCCCACATACCCTGTGTTTTGCTGAAGTAGTTTCAACAAACGTATTATTCAAGTGAATTTCAGACCTCCCACTGACACTACAAAAAGGTGCTTCACATACTTCAACTGAAATAACAGATAAACACTACAGAATAAAATCAGAATCAATCCAAATGCTCAAACACTGGAAAATATTGGTACAGAAAGTTCCAGAAATGACTGAGACCTTTGTATAACCTTTACTACACAAAGCAAGGACACTGAACTTAGAGGAAACCCACAAGCTGGTATGAAAAACTAGTACCAGCTCACAACCCAGAGCTCTGTTAGCTCATGGAAGCTGCTCTTCCATGGACATGAGTTTTGAATTCTGCCTACATTGTATATAGGAATCAGGTATGCTAATCAAAAAGTCTTAGCTTGAAGTCCTCAATAATTTGAGTTTTTTATAACAAAATCAAGTAAAAGCCTGATCAAAGTTGCACACAATTACACATTTTCTTAACTTTATTACAAGTTGATGACAATTTAAAAAAATAGTCACCTGTTATAAGCACTAAAATCATACTTGAAAAAACACCATAAAATTTTCACCTTATATACAAAAGGGCTTATTGATACAAGTAGTGTAAGTATCAATTCCATAGAGTTTTTTGCAATATCCCCAACTGAAATATGTCTTCAGGCTCTGAATTCTTTGGGGATTCTTTGTGTTTCAGTGGCACAAAAGCTGTATCTTACCTGATACATCATCATTCCTTTATTTTACAAAAATTAAACACTTTTCTTCTTAAGCACATGCAAACGAGCATCCTTGCAAAGCAGGCAGCTCATGAGTTCACCATTTCCTGACCAGGCAATATTAACCTAAAGTACTTCAGGAAGATGATAAACATTAACTTCCTCTTCAGGCAAGATCAGTAGCAGCACTTTCACCTCTCCCTTGGGGAAACGGAAGAGAAATTCTCCATTTCGCAGTTCTTTGTTAGTAAACTCTCAGACCCCAAACCTCTTCACTGACTAAAAGCACATCCGTGTACTTGAGCAAGTTCAAAATACCTACTCAGCACTCAGCAGTGCTCCTGCACGAGCCCATCCTCTTGGAGATCCCCTCTGCACGGGTACCCTGCTCCCTTCCAACACTGTGCGTGGGTAAGCATGCAAAAACCCCATTTCCACAAGTGCCAGGTTGTTGCCACATCACTTGGGACACAAGAAGGGCAGGAAAGTTATGAGAAAGCTTTAGGGACAAGGCAAGAGGGTCTGTACAACACAGCTCCATGCTGGAGCTGGCTGCCACAGCCCTGCTGCTCACCTCACCCCTGCAGCACGTGCCACACCTGGGAAACTGAACACACTCGAGGTCCCTACAGCCAAAGGACAACCAAGGTGCAGGGGAATTTAAAAACCAAACCAGCACATATTCAGGAACCACCCCCATTTATCCCAAATACAAGCGTGCAGACAGGGTGTTAAGTCAGAAACTATTTCAGAAGAGCTGAGTCTGTGTAAATCCACCAGCTTCTTAGCAAGAATTGTCACAGCATGCAAGAGAGAGAAAAACACATTTCTAAGGGAAATTCTTCAAAGCAGGTATTTCAGTACACTAAGTTCAATTTAGCCTAATGAAAGCCATTCTTCTCTGCATAATCCACAGCACGCTAGTCAAATTTATTTATTCAGCATAATATATCCTTTTATTGGGCTCATTTATACAAGCTCATGCAGTTTTTAACGTAACATCTGCCACATTTTTTACACACATGAAAGCTGGTAAAGCAGTAGTATTTTTAAATAACCAATTTCACAGTTTCCTACTTTGAAAGGTACAATATGCGTGTGAGATTTACCCTCAACTTTCAGATTTTAAACTGCAGCTTATATTAGGACTCATAATTTACATACTCTATTTGCTGTCAAATTTGAAAACAAATTTAGTCTTTGATTTGAAAATATTTGACTATTAAAGCAACTTGTTTGGTTTGCTGCCTGTGTTCAATTAGTCTTCTCCCTTTATCTTGACAAAAACCAGACAATGCTTTTACCAGTTGGTAACACAGAAAGGAAAAGCAAAACAGTGTCTGTGCTGGCAGAGCAGAATGTTGACAACCTCTGGACAAAGTTACACAGCATCTGAACTACACCTATACTACATCAACTAAATTTATGAATGAGAAACCTCAAAAAGCACTTAAAATTAACTCCAGTCTATAAAAAGCACTTCTGGAGAACAACCAGCCCTCACACGACCTGACCAAAGTCAAAAGCAGCAGCTAAGATACTCAGACTCACAAAAGGTATAAGAAGTTGTCTCTGTTGCAGAGACTCTTCAGGAAACTGTTACTGTTCAGGTAAGCAAATATTGATCATTTCACACAGAGTTATTTTACAAACTCAAACCAAATGCTTTTGCCTCTCTCCACATCAACTGAAGACATAGCTTTTATCTGAAGCATAACCAAATAAAACAAGCTGTGACAAACACCCTTTTTGGTTTTGGAAGCACACTTGGAATTGTCCTACAAACAGGACCATGAAAGGGATTTTTTTTCTTCTTTTAAATAAAATATAGTTGCTATTTAAAAGCAACTTATTTCAAATTTTCCATTTACAAGCATTTGTAGTTTCTCCCACTGTTATGGAAAGAACTAACAATACAGAATCACAAACAGCCCTACCTAATCCAAGTGCTATGGCCACCAAGGGCTGACCCACTTCACAGCATCAGGGCACAGCCAGGCTGAAGAGCCTCTGTACCCACCTCACAGATGGTTTTGAGAACTTGCCCACAGGTCTCCATAACATAATATTTTTAAGTACACAGATTTTATGTCCATAGAGACTATATTTACTTCAGTAGGTCTCTCTGTTGCTTAAAAATGTCAGTATTGGTATAATTTACAAGACAAATTTCACCTTCTTACCTGTTCACCCTCCGAGGACACTTATCTGGTTTGATATCCACCTCATAGAGGTAGACATCAATCTTTGGGATTTCAACTTGGAAGCAGTTGGCCAGCAGTTTAATGGGTTTGCCCATGGTGCCATAGCCAGGACGTCTGGGCACCATGAGCAGGGGCTGTGCCCCGACGGGTCCTGCCGAAGAAAGAAATGTCACAGGTTAGGAGCTGAGCACAACAGACCAGCTGTGCTGCAAAGGTACCTGCTGTACTTCAGCAGCTTAAAAACTATGCAAGGCTTCTTGCAGTTGCAGGTACACATACTTGTCTCCCACTGAGACTTCTTAATGCACTCCTTTTTTCAGTCCTAGGCAATTCCCTGATCCCTGTATATTAGAGATTAATACTCACAGCTGCTCAGAGAAACAACCAACAACTGCAGTAAAAGCTGGGTATTTTGAAAGTCAACTAAAAGCATCTGTCTAGTAATGTAAGTAACAGTCTGTTACAGCCTCACCTGGCTGAATCTTTAATTTAGTTTGCATCATTTAAGTGAGAACCCTCAAGTTCAAGACCTGGGTGACTCATGCCTCACAGAACCACATACAGTAGTAAACACAGGCAACTTTCAAGAATTTCTACTGGTATTTCCACTTTAAATTATCTCTATCCAGTCAAGAAACAACAACAAAACCAACAAGCTTTGTAGCCTGAGTTTTAAAAAATTACTCATGGTACAAATGTCATGATTTACAGAGTATTTGATTAAGTTAGTTAGAAGTTCTCCCCCGACTCCTACACAGTGACGCAGACCACAATTCCAGCCCACTCATTTTCAGAGAAAAGATAAAATGTCAAGGGCTGGTAAAAATGTCTTATTTGCCTTTTGATTGATCTCCACCATTCCTGGGAAAAAAAAAATAATAATAAATCACATTATCTTGAAGGAAAGTTTGTACTGAGAATAGGTGAACCTCACAGTGAAGTCCCACTGTAACATTTGTTTGTCTGGCTCTACCCAGAAACGTACGAAAAACTTCTGAGTGGGCTTGGCTTTGAGCCATGAGGCAAAACAAAAACATCAAACAAGCATCATTTAAAACACCCTCACAGACCATGCTTATGCAAAACTTGTTCTAAGCATCTGTCCTCTTCTGCTTTTTCTTCCCTTTAATACTGTTCTACGATTTACTCTAGATATATTTTCAGAATATAAGCATATGCAAAAAGCTACTACTAAACATTTGAGTGACATAAATGACTCAATAGCTTATTTTAATATTACAAAGACATCCCAGGGTTTATATTTAGTTGGTATCTGTAGGAAATACTAGCAAAACTGCTGAAATAAAGAGAAGGTTAAAAGATTCCTGATCTGATCTGGTCTGGTCTGCCCTGTCTTCTCCCACTCTGTTTTTTAAAATAATGTAAAATCAGTTGCTAAAATCCATAAGCACAGAAGGAGGACTCAGTGTGAAGACAAACTTCATGAAGTTTAACTGAAGTGCCATGGAGCATGGAAATACAGTATGGCTGAAATCTGTCAAATTGCACTAAGTTAAACTTTCTAACTGAGCACTCAGCTATTGGAGAAGAGCCAAACCCCTTTCTGGGAATGCTGTCCTGGTATTGACCCCTTTGCTCGGATTAACAGAATCCCTGTGATCAGCTGCACAGGGGCACAAACCTGAAACAGGCATTATCTTCAGTGAGTGATACAGGGCAGGGTCAGCAAGGAAAAGCCCAGCCCAAGGCCAGGCAGGCCAGCAGGGCTCCAGGCTCTGCTCCCTGCAAGCAGGGGGCACCATCCAAATGAACATCCCTTATGGGACAAAGGCTTTTTCAGCTGAACCACGAACAGCCCCCCAGGAGACAGCTCATCCTGGAGGAAGTTAGAACTCAGATTTTGGCAAAGAGGAATTAAGTGACCAACAAATGAGTAAGTGCAGAGCTACACAGCGCTCAGGAAGCTGCTCTTGCCATCATCTCCTGTGATACACGCTCCCTCGGACAACCTAAAAACATGTGTGGGTCGACACCCGGTTCTGCTGTCACTGCCCAAATACACTCCCACCCACTCACAATACCCTGCTTCCAACATACACTCCATTGCCAGATCTCACGTTGTGAAAGTCTGTGTCACTGGCTGCAAACCCGTGACTCAAACCCCAACAAACCATCAGTACCAAACGAGGAGCTCCAGGGGCAGCTCCTGCAGCTGGATCCTACCCGTGACTCCCTCAACCTCACGCCTGAGTCCTGTGTCAGGAGAATGGAAACATACCAACTAAAAATACTAGAAGTAGTATTATTCTAAATAGCCCAGAATGGCTGTGACTGGCAGACTGATTCCTTCATGTTATTTAACCATTGCTAAAACAAAGTCCCTACAGTTTTAAAACCTTTGCAAAAGCAGGGCCTGGAGGAGCCTCCAGGAGAGGAGCAGCTCTGCACTCTGCAGCTGCCCACAGGAGACATTCACAAGGAGAATCTTCTTCATGTTTAAGAAACTATTAGTGCTCTGTCATTATAGCACAAGATACGTACATATACCTAATGTGCTTCTAGCAAATCCAAGAAACACCATAAAACAAAATGTGTTCAGCATGCCAGGACAGCAGCCAGTTCATAAAACCAGATAAGGAAAGTCTCCAGCGTTGGCAGTCACTGCTTTATAAGAGAACAATGAACACACAGGCAGGAACTAAAACTGATGCTTCAGCCAGATTCTTGGAAAGCTTTTACATTACATTTCAAGGATATACAAGATTCACCACTGAGTATCATGAAGTTCCTGAATGTACAGTTGCTCATTAGAAAACATACAGGAAAAAGGTGCAGAGGAAATATTTAACTGCATTAAATCAGGAATAGCACAAAGCAGGAAAAAAATTCTCTTTGGGACTTTTAGGTTATATCCATTTATAAATTACTGATCATAGCATTTGTGGAAGTGGTTATTTATGAACATCCTTCAGCAATGTTTGGAAGACACTTTCCTCACAAGTGAATGCTCAATAAGCAGGAGCAACAGAGCCATGTCCCTTCAAAAGAGTCTAGTATCAAACCAGCTAAGTTCCAACTCCTCCATTTCCCAGCAGCCCCCAAGGACTATACGTTGCTCCAAGCCATCACTGCCACCTTTACAGCAAGTGTCTCCAATACCTGTTGTGTTTCATGGGATTTACCCCATTGCATCCCCCAGGGACATACAGGACATTACTGTTCCAGCCCTGGCCTGTGACCTGTGCTGGCTGCACGACACATCAATAACCTGTGTCCCATAACCATGTAGCTCATTGATGGGAGGTGAAGATATTTTGAAGTGCGTTGCTGATACTTAACTCAGTATTTCAACAAAACCCCAAGGGGATGGAAAAGGAACTGTCACTTTTAGAGAGCTTACTCATATTTCCAAATGTTAAAAAAGAAATTTCCTGAAATTGAGTAAGTGTATTGTTTATGTTAATGGTTTAAATGAGCCCTGAATCAGAACCTTTTATTCTGTGGAATTAGAGGCATTCTAATAAGATTAAACACAAGCAAAATGGACTGTAATTTCTATGGCAATGCAGGCAGCAGTGCAGCCCACAGCTGGCGGGCATCCAGAGCCAGGCTTGGATCTACCTAGCAACCAACCGAGCCCTGAGCGGAATAAAGCCTGAGCAGAAAGAGCTCAGAAACCTGCACATACCTTCAACAAACCATTTTACAGACAAGTCCAGATTTTGGCATGCAATACAGCTCTACAGCATGAAGCAAAGCACTGATTGCTAGTGAGGTGCTAAGAAAAAATACAGATTTTCTCACATGATCCTTCCCCTACAGAACGAGGCACCAGGATTGAGCTTCCAGCAAAAAATTACCCTCTTTCCTACCGTGGGCTTCAGCTTTACAGAACCAAAAAATATTAACAACTGATTACTTAATAGTTTTATTTTTGTTTATAAAACAGTTCTAAATCTCCAACTGAATGGGTGACTGGACAGTGTTAAACACATGAGGGAGAACTTAACAGGTAAAATATTTTAACTTTGGCTCAGTCACAGCAGACAGATCCTGTCCTCAGGCACAAGCTCTCCGTGCAGGGGGAGGATAGAAACCATTCCCTTTCAGAGGGCCCCAGGACTCAGAGGCCCAGCCTGTGGAGCTCCAAGAAAATTCTATCACTACTGAAAAATGAGTTAATTCTGGATTTAAAAAAAAAAAAAGGTAGGGAAGATGATGTTCAAATTTTGGTTTCAAAAATCAAGCTCCGTCCTTCTGCCAGAAATCATGAATTGCCTCATTTCTGCAGCAGCAGCCTTGCTGGGTGGCATTACATTATTTATGAGTAATGCAATCCACGTTTTCTAAACATTCCTACTCCAATTTAGGCTGGTGGGGCTTGGTTTGGTGTTGTGGGGTTTTTTTTGTTAGGTTTTTTTAAGGTTTCAGATGATAAGTCATGTTAAAACTCATCAGAAGGCAACATTTTGATGCCATGCACAGTGACAGCCAAATGCACAAGTAAATACTAGTGTGCTGACTTCTTCTAGCCTAACAAAGCTACAGAAAACACGGTGAAGTGTTTGAGAAACATCTGCAAGATAACAAATGCTTCTGACCCATTACAAAAAATCTACTCATGAAGAACTTTAAGCTCAAAAAAGCAGCTTATGTGCACACTGTGAAGTGAATGCCCAAGAACTCCAGGAGAAGAGAACATGACAAACCCCACAGACACTTTTTCCTTGCAGGTATTTCCACAGACCAGTACCAGGAAGGCAAAACACACACCACACCACTTTCTGCCACCAAAAGGAACCTCTACCAACAAGTACTTGCACTTATGCTAAAAAACCCCAAAACTTTATATTAAAATATGTCATTCTTAATGCAGTCATTTTTATTTTCAATGTATTTAATTATTGACTATTTTGAGAACTACACCATTCCTCCCTCACACTAACTCTGAACTACTGCTATGGAGAGAGCAAACCCCGCTGTCCAGCTGCTGCTATTTAGGTTTCCAAGATACAAGTAATTCCCCTTTTTCCAATTTACTGTCTGAAAAATGCCTGCGAGCAGAGCAGCAAGACCTGAGACACAGCCATGTTACTCAGTTTAGACCCAAGCTGTCAGAAAGCCCCTGCAAAACAAAACACAGTTTTAAACAGTTACTAAACAGAAG